CGGTCGGGCGGGCGGGGGCGGCTGCAGTCGGGAGCTGCCGCGGCCGCCCAGGCTTCCGTCTCGCTCTCCTGCTCGCTCGCGCAGCGGCGGCAGCAGAGGTCGCGCACAGATGCGGGTTAGACTGGCGGGGGGGGGGGGGGGGGGGGGGGAGGGAGATGCAAGCATGAGACCCCCACGGAAGAGCCTGAAGGCCAAAAGGGGGGAGCCCGCCCCGCGGGGGGGCGCGCGGGGCCCGCGGGGGGAGGGGGGGCCTGATGCATGAGACCCACAGGTAAGAGCCTGAAGCCCAGAAGGGGTCAGCCTGCCCCGGGGAGGCGCGCGCAGGCCTGGCAGGGCGAGTTGGCTCCTGGTTCTGCACCCCCAAGGGAGGAATTTTTATAAAAATCAGCTCAAAGAGATCTCATAGACGACCTGGGCAATAGGACCCTCCCGATCCCGGGAAAACCAGAGAAGTAGCAGAGGGCAGCCGGTGGCACAATGTGAGATTCCTAAGAGTGAAACGTACAGGCCCGGGGAAAAGTGTTTCCTTAGCCCCTGGACGCTGGAAGGCTTTAGACTTTCCTCTCTTGGTCACCACTGCTGAATCCCGGGGAGCAGCGCAGAGCCAGTGTGCGCTAACCCCTGCCCTCCCTCCCCTCCTCCATCCCTCCCGCACGCGCAGCATCCCACGGCTGCTACTCCGAGGACTCCGCGAGGGGGTGACTGGGAGGATCTCGCGGTGGGAAAGGGGGCGGGGGCCGCTCTGGGGAGAACCGGGATGGAGCTTGCGAAGCCAAGGCACCGGGTCCCCAGGGCGGAGGAGGGAGAGCGTGGTCCCAGAGCCCAGGCAACCGCGGGTATTGTCATGTTCCGCTCCTGGTTGCAGACTCTTGCAAGCTGGATGCCCTCTGTGGATGAAAGATGTATCATGGAATGAACCCGAGCAATGGAGATGGATTTCTAGAACAGCAGCAGCAGCAACAGCAGCCTCAGTCCCCCCAGAGACTCTTAGCGGTGATCCTGTGGTTTCAGCTGGCGCTGTGCTTTGGCCCTGCACAGCTCACCGGTGGTGAGTGACCCCTCTGTGATGGGAGGGCTTTGAATTGACCCGGCAGGGAGGGGTAGCCTAGCTGGCAGGACAGCTCTGCACCTCCTGCCTGCATCCAGACTTCAGGGATGCCTAAGAAGCAGGATCCCAGTGTCCCAGCCTTCCGCAAAACCCCTGGAGCTCACAGAAAATTCTCTAGAACCCGTGCAGGTTCACATACCCACCGTCGGCCCAGCGTGGCTTTTCTAAAGGAAGAACAGACAAAAAGCCTGGTCCATTATTTGCATTTTGGTCTAAGAGAAAAAGGAAGAGAGAAAGAAAACGTGGTGTATTTGTGGACCTTTGACCCTTGTTCTTTGCCCTCTGCAGACCGGTCAGGTTTTAGCTTCTGGATTTGGGCAGTATTAGAACAATTGCCTCTAGGAATGTAAAGGCTCTGCAAACATGGCCAGACTGGTTGAAGGACAGGTTTATTTGAAAGTTAACTTTCTCTTTCCTGGAGGTGGTGTGTTCAGGCTTGCCGGTGGTGGCTGTTGGGGGTGGGGAAAGGTTGCAGTTTTCTTCAGGTATGTTTCTGGAAGATTGCTTAGCTAGGTCTGATTTACAGGGGGGATCAAGTCAAGTGCTCTTCTATGAAGTGGAAGTTCGCTGAAATAAAATTGATTGGCCCAGTCTCTGTAGGCGGCTAATCTATAACAGACTTGATTCCAAGGGAGAGGGCTATCTTTTGGTTGTGGTAGAGGAAGACAGATGGAGTTCCTGTCTGAATCTCCCAGCTTAAGTATCTCCCTGCCTCCCTTGCTCACCACTGTCCATCATTCTGTCTGTTCCAAATTTTCCTTGAGTGCTTGCTGATGTGCACATGTGAAGGACAGAATTATCTTCTCATAGCTCAAATACTGGTGATATGTAAGTAAATTGTCATTAGATGAAAAACGAGCATCGCTTGGCACAAATGAGCTGTTTCCACATTGAAGATGGGGGTGGGGGTGTGCGAGTAGAAAATTAGCCAAACTGGGGGAGGAAAATGGCACATAGGCCTTAGCGCAGAACAGTCAGTAAATCAGGCATTCCATGTAGACATCTGAATGATGCCCAGGGTAGAAAAGTGTTTATTGTGCTGTGCAAGTCTGTCAGAATTAGGAAAAAAAAAAAAAAAAAAAAAACCAAAAAACAACAAACTTGCTTTTGCTTTGGGTGGAAAGGGTAAGTGGTGGTTTTGTTTTAAGGGATAACTTTTTGGTGCTGTTATTTTATTTATTTTTTAATAGAGATGTCTCAGAGGCAGGCACCCTCTTGATAGCAGACAAGGTCAAATGTGAGGCCAGACCATGTCTTTGTGGCCGGCCAGGGCTCTTGCCTCTCTGGGCACTAGCTCCACCTCATAAGCAGGTAAGACTCACCAGGCCTGGGTCTTTTCCTGTTCTCTGATCTTGCCTTTCAGTTCTAGCTCCCGTTCCCTCCAACCAGGTCCTTGAGGAGACTTTCTGTCTTCCTGGTCCATGTCCCTCTCAGTAGATGACAGATAAGCTAATCAGAGTCTGTCTACATACATCTCAACTGTCGTTTTTGGATGTCTGAGGTCTGATCACAGTCTGAATTTAAAGGCTATGCCCCTGGTTCTTCCCGTTTGTGTTTTCAGAGCTTTCTGCAGAGCTCTGTGTTCAGCAAACCCTTTTGGACCCATCAGTCACCTGTGAAGCCTGTACAGTGGTATCTTTTTCCATCCCTTCCCAGAGGGGAGCATGGCAAGCAAGAGGGTCCAGAGCCCGGGAAACAGAGTGGGAGTGAGAGTTGCCTGTCACCCTTCAGTTTCACAGCTTTCCCATGAGCTCTCATAATGCTGCAGAAAGGCTAGCCACCAGCCTTATTTCACCTGGAACTCTTTTAGATGGACACTGGTTTCTAAAGGACTACTTACCATTCCAATGTGAGCTGGCAGTCTGGACAGGGAAAGGCAGTGAGGGATATCCTAAGGAGTTCACTAGACAGGGGTACTTTCCTAGAAAAGAAATTCAGGTAATGTCCAGGATGACAATAAAGACAAATTCACCCTTACTCTAGACCTGTGCTCTTTGAACTTTGATGGACATGCAAATCACCTGGGATCTTGTTATAAAGCAGATCCTAATTCTATTGGTAGGGTCCGAGAGTCTGCATTTCTTTTCTATTTTAAAAATATTTATTATTTTTATTTGTGTGTGTGTGTGTGTGTGTGTGTGTATGTGTGTGTGTGAGTGTGTCTGCCACATTTGTGTTGGTGCCTGAGGAGGCCAGAAGAGGGTGTTGGATCCCCTGGAGCTGGAGTTATAGGTGATTGTGAGCCACCCAACATGGATGCTGGGATCCACACTCAGGTCCCCTGGAAAAGCAGCCAATTCTCTTAACCACCACTGAGCCATCTCTCCAACCCTTGCATTGCTAATAGGCTCCCATGTGAAGCCTTTGTTACTGGTCCAAAGACCCATAGCCTGATTAGCAATATTTTAGACTAAGGTGTTCCTTAAAGTAAGTTGCTTCTGACTGCAGACTTCTGGCCTCCTTCTCAATTACCAAATGCAAATGGCCTGCTAAGGAGCAGAAGTCTCACCCAGTATCTAATCTGTAGGTGAAACACAGCTGAACATCAGCCCTCAGAGAGTGCTTTCTTTTTTTATCCACAAAAGGTGCATATTTAATAGACACTTCTGAAATGTGGATTTTCATTTTTGATTGCTTTCAGTGGAAAAGGAACACCACAATAGCAAGATATAATAGTCTCAGCTAGGAGGGGAAAAAGCATGTGCCCAATACAAGAATTATAGAAAAAGCTTCAACTAGAAAGGGAAAAATTGAGAAAATGATCAGACAAAGGAGAAGAGGGGAAGGGACTCCATCAAAACCAAAATGCTTTGTCCTGGAAAGCCAGAGATCCAATTCAATTCTTTGAGCCCTAGGAGAGCTTTCATGAGCCTGACTTAGCTTGAAGTGACTTGGGTAGCTCTCTCTGAGCTGTCTTTTGTCAGTTAGGAAGAAGGGCCTTCATTTGGAGCCACAGAAACAGAATATCCTGAGCGAATTCCTACCAGGCTTATAGGGGCTTACCACCGTGCCCAGAATCTGTGCAGACCATGACTTTAGCTGCTTTTTTCGCTTGCTTCAATTTGCTTTCCCAGAAGCCTCCTGGGTTTTGAGGGATGTCCAGATTGGTCCATCTAGACTTACAGGGAGAGAACTAAGAGTTTGCTGTACAAGTTACTCCTTGAAGATGAATTTCTTCTATTATTGGGAACTCAGGGTGGGGTCTCACACTGCAAAGCTTTGAGATTTGAGGTGCTGGGGGCCTCAGTTTCTTCATCTATAAAATGAGGAGGAGGATGCTTAACTTAAGAGGTTGGTGTCAGGGATAGAAGTCATGTAGGCACTCAATAAGTACAGGAGGTCATGGAGAAGCAGCTAAGATAATGCCTTAATTTGGGGGGGTTGCTTTATTCAGTAAACATTGAGCACCTGTCCCTATTGTGTACAATATTCTTTTTAACTAGTAGAAACTTCCCTTACTCTCCTAATAAATAAATTGAAGGTCTAACCCAAGTGCCCAAATCTCCTTCATGTTTCTCTGATCATTAAATTCCTCTCTTACCCAGCCCTGCTTTGCTCCAGGGTGTAGCCCTTGACCATAGTATTTTAAGCCCTCAGAGGGTAAAGGGTCTCGATTTGATTCATTTTTATGTTGTAGGCACCCAGCAACAGTTGTAAGTTGAGGCCACATCCAGTTGGAGGTCATCTAGGAGGTTGGGAGAGAAATCAGGAAAGTCACTTAGGATGGGGTGGGGATGGGTGGAGCATGTCAGGGCCAGAGGTACCTTCTGCAAAAAGGTGGAGGTAGCTACATGATTGGACTCACCAGGGAGCAGAGAACTCCGATTGATGTAGGATATGACATGACTACAGGGAACCAGTATATAGAAGGACAGATCTTTTGGAGTCTTTTCATAAGGGTCTTGAAAGCCCCAGAGAGCGTCCTGATGTCTCAAAGCAGACAGGGGGACCCACAGAAGAGTTTGGAGCAGGAGTGCACTGGATGTCAAGGGAGCTATGTAACTTCTCTGCTTCCAGGTCGGAGTTATGATTCTGGCTGAATTTAACCCCTTTGGTCTCATTTGGGTCATGGGCTCTGTGGCAGCAGGTAGGAGCAGATACTTTCTGAGAGCTCATCTGGCTTGTAGTTGTCAGTGTCTTAATGTTTTATTGAGAAAAAAAATCCTTCCATGGTAGCATACAAGCCTTTCATGCAATGCTACACCTAATGTCCATGATTTCAAGCTGCACTTAGTCTGTAAGCAAAGTCCCAGTTCCTGAAACTCTAGCACATAGTTCTTTAACAAAGCCTGCTTTAGTATAAGCAGCCTGGAAACTCTTTCAATTTATTGACAGAGTCTACTCCAAAAGCTTTTGGGGACAGAAAAAGGATTTCATGTAACAACTAGCAAATCTCACATCTCAGGGGCCTGAAGAGGAAATGCAAGTCAGAGAGAGTCAGTGTTGCTCTAATTCCTGAGAATAATGTTGAGTGTGGGTGAAGGATCCTGCCCCAGTAGGTACTCAGAAACATGAAGAAAAGTGTCTATGTTATTCTGTTCTTGATGTTGGAGACGTATCTCCAGTGCTTCCAGAGGCCTCCAAATGGAAAGCTCTGGTCTAGAACACGGACTCTGCATTCTGTATAGGATGGGTAGAGTTCGAGGTCAGTGTCTGTCCTTAAATGTCTTCATGGTTCTGGGCAGGTTGTGTAACTTCTGCTTGACTCAGTTTCTTCCATACTACCAATACTCTTTGGTTCCCTCGTTATAGTAGCCACCCTTAACTGCAGTTTTGTTGCCATGATTCCAGTTACTAGTCATCGCTGTGGCTTAAAATATTAAGAAGAAAATTCTACAATAAGCAGTCAAATGCTGTTTTGAGTAACATGAGGAAATCTTTTGCCATCCTGCCCACTGCCTCCTGCTTGGGAGGCGAATTATCCCTTTGACCAGCATACG